ACATTTCATACTTAGTCCCTAAAGAATGCTCTTAAGAATCATAATAGCAAGTATACATTTATTGCTACTCTAAATCAACTGTTAATTAACTCCACAAGATACAGACAAATTTATCTTTAGCATTATGTTTATTATGAAAGTTTTACAAGTTACAAACTGCCATGGTATTTACAGCAATTTTTTTCTCTATATTAGTCTATTTCGTTTTTGTTCTCCAAAGGCCTAGTAATGCATTCTATGTAAGGTGAGTGAGTTATAGGAGCTTTTTAAATAAGAAATTAACAATATTGTTAAGGATAAAAAAAAGTTTCTGATTTTTCCTGTTCAAATATTGATAATCTATTTTTTGTTATATTGGATGGTAGTTTAATATCATGAAATATTTGTATGTATTGACATTACTCATTTGAAATGCTAATTAAAAATGTTATCATTACATGAAACTGTGAACACACAAAATGATCATATGTAGACTAAAAATATGACTTTTTTTGTTATACATAAAGACTGCATTTATACTTCTTACATAATTCGGGTACTGAGAGCTAGTTAATAAATGTTACAAATCTTTTAATTTTCTATTTTAAATCATGGCCCAATTCCCACTCATTTATTATCAACATGAAAAGATGATAAAAATTAAAATTATTAAAATTCTCCAATTTTCATCACCTAGGACTGTGTTGAAGTACTTAAACAACAGATAATGACCAAGATATTATTAAAGGCTGACATTTTGTTGATTTTGTATTTTGGGCTTGTTTGATCAATTTAAAGTTTATCTTAAATTTTTAATGAAAATTTTTTTCTGTACCACTTGCTGTTTGCATTCATATATACTTCTAAAGATACATTATCAATTTTGATTGTCATTTAAAAAACAAAACTAAACTAAAATCCTGAAAGTCACGTTCCTATAACTGTTTATCGCAATTCCATTTCAAATAAAAATGCTTGATGAGAAAAATGAATATTTAAATATTGAATAAAATATAACTATGTACTGAATTTGATGACACAAGGGGAAGTAAAGTAGAACATGATTGACTATATGACTTTTATTTTATTTTATTTTAATATGTTTTTACTCCTAAACAAGGCCTTAATATAAGAATGTCCCCATCCTTCTTCTATCCTAATGATAACCACCATTTTTAATCAAAATATTATTTTCTGTGCATGTTTAAATATACAGAAATGAGCATTGACATAGACATATATGGTATGTCTTTTCTGATTTTTAAAGTGATATCAAAAATATTTTATTCAAACAGACTCATAACATGCACACGTCCTGTAATTTTTCAAAAAAATTTACCTTCATTCTTTGTAAAAGGAAAGCTTTATCATTGTAAATGCTAGTGATTACATATGTTTTGTCCACTATGCAACATTTTGTTATTTAGGTTTTTTCATCACTGAATAAGCATTGGATTTATATAAACTTAACATTTTATAATCTCTATTACTACTTTTTAACATGGCAGGTTATGATATAGTTAAGAAACTTCAAATTATTTATTCTCATTAGAAGTCACCTTTTCTCAAGAATGATTCAATGCAGTGCTAATGATTAGAAAAATTGACTATATTGGTATTTGAATGTGTTACTTACATTGTCTTTAAATAGCTAATTACTAGGATACTAATCTACTTCTAAGACTATTGGGCTAAGGTGTTTTTATCATTATGAACTGAAAACTGGTCAATTATAGAATACTACTTTATCCAATTTAAATTTAAATATTAATTGTGAAGTGTTTCATCCATTTCTTCTAAGTAGGTTTCTATTTCCTGAGTAGTCAGTAGATGGCAGGCTTGTATCATGTACAGTTTGAATTTCGTATGGCATACTTATTTGTTATGGTAATATGAATACCCACTGACAGGTGTTTTTGTTGTCTTTGTGACAATGAAATACAAGAAAATAGCTCATATTTTATTTCTAAATTCAAATAAAATTATTTGTTGAATGAGCTTAAGAGCTGTGTAACTAGATGTCCTAATGATTTTTTGGTTTACATTTTTTAAAAACCACAACCAGAGAAACACTAACATTGGCAATTACAATAGAATTTTACTGCAATTCTAAAACTTGAAAAGTAAATATTAAACAATTTCAGAAAAAAGTACATTATAAAGTGAATCCACACAAAGCATATATATTTTTCAAATTTAACATAAAATACATAAGAAACAGCTTCTTTGAGAAAAATATGTAATATGAATGCTTACAATTTTTGAAAGGTCTGTTTGAAACCTATATGTTGCTATTGTTCATTAATTCAACCTGACAGTCCATACACAATGGGATGGTTTGAGGGAAGGTGTTATTTGATGTCTATGTCATACAATAACAACACTTCATATGATATAGTACATCACATGGCATGTTTCTTATCAGCATGACAAAAATAATCTCTTCCGCCAACTGTAGCATGTCTGAAAGACAGCAAATTATATCTTCCAAGATTAAATGCCTCTATCCTAAAGCTTATTTAAAATAAAATTACTTCTCAAAAAATCTCATTGCATAGGTTATGTTACTGTGAAAGAAGGTAAATTTAGTAACAACATCATGCCCTAAATGTAACTCAGGAAGCAGCAATATTCTGTTTTTTGTTTTTTTTTTTTTTTTTTTTTCATTTCCAAACGAAATGAGTTGCAAAGCTAGGTGCATGCCGGAGGACATGAGAACAGCTAGACAGATTTGCTGTGGACAATATTACTGTGCTCTAATATTCTTTTTGCAGTGATTCCAGGTCAAGAAAGTGGCCAAAGAGGAAGTTATAAAGCGGACTAGGAAATTCTCCTAAATATATCTCCAACACAGTAAACAAGAGATTAGGAAACTTGTCCTTCATTCAATTACACCTGGTAAACTTTTTACATTTTCCATTCTGTTTTTTGCCTGTGATGTCTGAGTTGAATTACCTTTGCATAGACTTTGAGGAAAAATTTTCCTTTGTATTGCAAACTGATTTAACAATTATTAGTACAGAGAAAAGTAGCAATGATTTCCACAAGGCTGTTGGATCTTTTTATTACCTCTTTTGCTTGTCTGTTTGTTTGTTTTGTGTGCTCTCCTGAAATTCAAAGTGCTTGCTGGAAAAAACTACATACATCCACTGTCAGCAGATAGGGGATCAGAATGCAGCAATCCTGGTGTAGTAATCATCTGTGCCCTATATTCACACAATACACATGTATTATTACTATTGCTTTTACTGTTTATGATGTTTGGCTCAAAATTCATTTTATTTTCACTTTTCTGAAAGCTAGAAAAGTTAATATTCCTCTTTTCCAGTGAAAATCTTTAGTGGCTTTTTCCTGCCTACGATCTAAAATAACTACACATTTTGCCAAGCTGGTTTACTCTTTCAACAACCACCGCTATTTTTCTGTGTCCCCAGCCAGGTGAATGGAGTGGAGCAGTAAGAGATGCTGCTTCCAGTAGGTTTCCGCCTCTCAATCCTTGCTATTCAAAGTGTGATCCACAGTCCAGCAGCTTTGGCATCACCTGGGAAATTGATGGAAATGCAGAGAAGTTCAAATTCCTACCACCGATATACTGAATCAGAAATATCTGCCCTTCAAGAAGATCCACTGGTGATAGTATGCATATTAAAGTTTGAGTAGCACCGCCATTCTATACCAGCTTGCAAAATGAAAGCGAGAAGAACCAAAACAAAGAATTAGCCAATTTGGATTTTCTAAAGTGCATTAAATGTCAAGCTCAAGAAAAGGTAGTAGAAAAGAAATTTGTCTTCTGCCAAGTTATTAGTGTGGAATCATCTACTCTATTTTGAGGTGACACAAGCCAACACCAGTACATTTTCAAAATCATCACTTTCTGGGGAAATAAACTGACTTGCCTAATTTAATAAATTTCAGTGAATAACAAGACTTACTCTCAGATACCAACATTTCCTAGCTTGCAAGACAATAGTTAAAGAAAGAAATTTATAGACATGGTTTAAAACACCTTCTAATGCAAAGTAGAAGATTTACAATCATGCTTCATTGTCACATTCCAGTGTGCTCCTTTTATCCAATGATATCCAAAGAATTCTCTCATTGGAATTTTCAGCTTCAGTGAAAATTCTGTGATGATCTCAAATATTGCTGCAGAAAATGTATAATTAATGGAGTGAAGTGGTTTGTAAGGAAACATTTTATCAGAACAAGTGAGGGTAAATGAACTAATAGAGTTTAATTCTATGCTTCAATTTCAAATACAATATGCAAATATCTACTCTGCAAAACCCTATAAAATGACTTTCTGAACTGTATTATTCTGGGTTTAATACAGTGATTAGACTAGGTCATCATTTCTGCATTGTCAGAAACTGTGCTATTTTGCAGTATCTAATTGTTGTTTTATTTTCTTTTTGATTATTTTATTCACTGCGTTATTATTTTAGCTTTGACATCAGGCACATTCTTTGATATTAAAATTGCATTTGATTAGCTTTTAACTTTCTCAGACATATTAATACATGATGATGGTTTAAGTCAATGAATGTATTCTTCTGTGTTATGGCCTATTTCATTGTTCTAATTCAAGTGTCAAAATTGCTATTTATTTGACAACTATCATTATCAAATATTTCAGAATGTGAGTTGCCATTATTCAAAGGAATAAATCAACAGACATTTATGTAACATGTAATGGTAAAAAGAAATTATTCATATTATAACGTTTTATGATGTTTGGCTTAGAAGACTTGCTACAGATGTTATAGACAAACAAAAACGGTATGGTTAATGAAACAGGAGCCTGCTTTCAGATAGGTGACATGACATTTTCAAGGTCTCACAGCAATTTTGAATGAGCTAAGCCTCAATCATTGGTGAATTTCTTTAGTCTCTCTTTTTTTTTTTTAACACTGAAATCAAGTATGCTATTTTTAGCCCCCATTTTTTAAACTTGGATAATCAAAATGAGTTTAATAAAACCTTGTCAACCAAATATCGCATTATGCATAATAAAACATATCTTGAAGGTTATAGTAAATGGAAAAATGCATCTGGAAAGCTGAGAGAATTAGAGGTCATGGCTCGATGTAAAATCACCATGGAAACAGCTTTCATGGCCAATTTGTGGGGAGATGTCAAAAGGCAGTAACCTGTGACTTATTTTTTTCCAAAGCCCTTTCTATGAAGGTTACAGGTTCTATATCTGCTTTCATGATGACATTTGTCTATGTTTTTGTAGGATTCTATTCTGACAAGCACAAAACCCTGCACCAAGTTGAACCTGTCCTTTGTGATGAGGCTGTTGAACAGAAGAGCAGCATAGCAGTCTGTCTATTCTTGCTCCACATTCAGCTAAATGCCAACTCCGATCCCTTTGAGATGGTGAACAGGCAGAACCCAGGGATCGTGTCATCCCTCAGTATCCAGACTTCTTCAGAGAACCATGTGGTGAAACTTCTTGATTAAGGTCATGTTCTTAGTCTATAGTATCAGGTTTTTTTTTTTTTTTTTTTTGTAAGCTAAAAGATATCTATGTCTCTCAGTATCTAAAAGCCTATTTAAAAATAAATATGTAGATTTGAATAAATAATAATTCCAGCTTATGTTTCCAAATTACAAAAATAATTTAAAAAGAAATTATAGAATTCAGATGTTTGTTTTGTATCATTATCTTACAGAGAGTAATTTTACATTGCAGCCTTTGTGACAAAATTGGATCATTTTTGGCTTTATACAAATAAACATATCAAATAAATTCTTTTTTTTTTAGTGTGATATTATGTTTTACTATAAAATAACTATTTTATCTATATTTCATTTACTGAATAGAATAAGGAATTATGTTTAAAAACTTTAATGGTTGCAAGTCATCAGCTTTGGATGTTTTATGATCCTATAAGTAAACACGCATGTATTAGTTTGTTCTCATCCTGCTATGAAGAAATACCCAAGACGGTAATTTATAAAGGAAAGATGTTTAATTGGTGCACAATTCCACATGGCTGGGGAGACCTCAGGAAACTTACAATGATGGCAGAAGGGGAGGCAAACACATCCTTCTTCATAAGGTGGCAGGAGAGAAAAGTGCCAAGCCAAGGGGGAAAAGCCCCTTGTAAAACCATCAGATCTCATAAGAACTCACTATCATGAGAACAGCATGGGGGGACTGCCCCCATGGTTTAATCACCTCCCATGAGGTCCCTCCCCCAATATGTTGGGATTACAATTCAAGATGAGATTTGAGTGAGGATACCAAGCCAGGCCATACCATATCAAAGCAAAAGTTTTATTTCTACAAATTATTTATACATACAATATTTATTTATTTAGAAAATTATTCATATTATGTGAATTTTTCCTAAAGACTCTGGTATTCAGCTCTACAGCCTTATAGATTTGGATAGAAAAACATGCGTCCTTGGATAAGGACTTACAAACTAAGACTTGATAGAATTTGCTTTTATGCAAATATACTGATAATGAATGATGCATAGTAAAGTAATATTGTGATATGTTCCATGGGGTTGTTTCTTATTATTTTAAAAATGTGATTATTATAAGTACTACAATCTAACTTTTTGGTTCTTAATTTAAGTCTTCATCTCTAATTTGCCAATAGATTGACTTAGTCTAGAAGAACATTTTAAATCATGTTGACTAGACAACCTAGATATTTTCTAGATTTTTGGAAATTCTGGACTTTCTGTCCCACCATGACAGTTATTTTTCTATTAAATCTAATAAGCAATTGTCTCATGAGATATTAAATTATTTCTATTCTTGATTTCAATTTATTTTTGCCTAAATGTGGAAGGTAGAACAAAATACTGCATACTTTTCACCCACAATTTATAGTTTAATATATTTTGAGTCTTTAAGGCTGCTTACCTTTCAATTAACATTATGGCTAAGTATTACAGTGTAGTACAAGGATGAAAATTGGAAAATTCTGGAGAAAGGGAAGCTCTGTCCCAGCACTGCATATGCATTTTTTTATATACCCTCCAAAACTAGATTCAACTTTTAAAAGTTTCCAATTTCAAAAATAAATTGAAACTACTTAGAACTTTGAAACATTGATCTTTTTAAAAAAAATTTAAATGATAATCCAGTCCATAAGTTAAGTCTAATCTACTTTTCAGACCAAAAATGTATTTTATAGATATCAAGAGAAATTAGTATTATTTTTTCCAGGATACATAGCCCCAAGAAATCCAAAACAAATATTCTTTTTAAAAAAGGACAACTTCAATAAACTTTAGGTTCAAGGCTACATGTGCAGGTTTGTTATATAGGTAAATGGCACATCACAGAGGTTTGCGTACAGATTATTATGCCACCCAGATATGCTACCCATCGCATAGTAGATTTTCCATCCTCCTCCTCCTTCCCACTACCCTCAAATAGGCCTCAGTGGCTGTTGTTCCCTTTTTTGTGTCCATATGTACTCAAGATAACATTTTTTTTTTTACTAGAAAAAAAGAATTATACTTTTGCTTAAAATAGTCTAGTATTCACAAGGGAGAAGTAGCAAACACAAAGTTCTAACATATCAATGGAAAATTCTGTTGCATTTGAAATAGATATTTAAACCTTGATATAATCAAATAAAGAGGAGATATTAGCCAGCAGCTAATAATGAAATTTCCTGGTAAAGCATAAAGTTGCTGTCTGGATGCGGGGAGAGGACAAAGATGACTAAGATGGCGCATTTCCGGGTTCTTCATCACCAACTTACCCATACGCGGGAAAATGCAGCCCACGCCCGGGAAAAATACAGACCAACTGCGCAGGTGCAACATGGCCTCAGATGGAGGAAACTGACACTTACCTGGCCGCACCTACAGAACGCCCCCAACACACCCCTGTCCCGCCTATTGCCCTCCCACTCCCAAGCCTTAGACAGAAAAGCCGCTCCCAGCAGGCGCGTGGCGTGAACTTCCTCGGCACCTCCTCATATGCGGACCTAGGAACCTCGCCCAATAACGCGGGAGTGACTTCCTCGGCCTCCACCACCGGAGACCGGTGAACCTTGCCCTTTCTTCCTTCGCATTGGCTAGCTAATAAAGTTTCTTTTTACCTTGCCTACTTGCCTTTTCTCTGGCGCCTGCTCTGGTGGTCGCATAAAACAAATCAGTTGCCTCATTGAATTAGTGTGGGTTTGAAAGGATTGTGACAATAACCACTTCACACATTTAAAAGACCCATTGAAGAGCATTATATGTTCTTTAAAAGGGTCATCAGTGAGGTGATAGCAGTTTATTGTTGCATTTCACTTAATATTTATTATCTATACAGCCATTTGAATAGAAATTCATTTGAAAATTTTAATGTGAATATAAAAAGTCTTTACCATAACTTAAAGTTTTTGAATGTGCTATATTATATAAATTTGTCTTAAAAACTTTACATTATTTTTGCAAAGATTTTCGTTTAATTAAATTTTATAAAAGTAACCAAGTGATCTCTCTCTTTTTTTAATTTTTTTTTTTGAGACAGAGTCTCACTCTGTTACCCAGGCTGAAGGGCAGTGGTGCAGTCTCAGCTCATTGCAACCTCTGCCTCCTGGGTCTAAGCAGTTTTTGAGCCCAGCCTCCTGAGTAGCTGGGATTACAGGCATGTGCCACCATGTCTGGCTAATTTTTGTATTTTTAGTAGAGGTGGAGTTTTGCTACGTTGACAGGCTGGTCTCGAACTCCTGACCTAAATTGATCCACCCACCTCAGCCTCCCAAAGTGCTGGGATAACAGGTGTGAGCCACCATGCCCGGCCCAAAAGTAACCTCTTTATAAAAGAAAAGTTAAACAAATATATTGAGTTGACAGAATGACTCAAATAAGGAAACTACTTCAAGTAACTTTAAAATACAATAATTTTACTTGGGTCTTTGTTGTGATTGCCCAAAAAATGGGAGCAGAGTTGTCTAAACTAATTTCAGTATTACATTGTTAGTAGTGTTGTGGAATTATTTTTCTGAGCTAGCAAAAAGTAATAATGTTGGAGTCTACATAGTGTGAAAAGAAAAAAATACTGATTACACCTATGGTTCTGAATTTAAATTTAATTTTACACTTGAACTTTTAACATATTTTAAAACATAGTATATATTTCTAGCATTAAGGAGTTCTAGAAACATTGACCATCCCAAAAGCAATAAGTACTGCTAGAGTCCATATTGTAGCATTTAAATATCATTACTCACTAAAGAAACCAAGAATTTTTATATTTTAGATATGAGCATGAAGTGTACAAAACTGTCCTGGAACATCCTTTCATATCTAAAATAAGATGTATAGACGTTTACAAGGGTCCAGTCAAAAGGATGCAGGAACCAAATTGAATAGCTTATCACAGGCCAAAGTTGAAAACATTTAAACATAAATCTGGAGAACAAGTAATGGTTTCAAAAACATAAAATGTTTAAATCCATGAAGTCATACTAGCACTCCAAAACAAACATATAAGGATAAAGAAACTGTGGTACATGTACAACATGGAATATTATGCAGCCATGAAAAATAACAAGATCATGGCCTTTGCAGGGACATGGAAGGAGCTGGAGTCCTTATCCTCAGCACACTAAGGAAGGAACTGAAAATAAAATATTGCACGTTGTCACTTATAAGTGGGAGCTAATGATGAGAACACATGGACAAAGGGAGGGGAACAACACACACTGGGGCACATAGGAGGGTGGAGAGCAGGAGGAGAGACAGGATAAGGAAAAATAACTAATGGGTATTAGGCTTAATACCTGGGTGATGAAATAATCTTTACAAGAAACCCCCACAACACAAGTTTACCTATGTACCAGACCTGCACATGTACCCCTGAGCTTCAAATAAATGTTAAAAAAAAAAAAAAAGAGAGAGAAAAGAAAATCTCAGCACTGCCTAGAGAGGTGGCAGCCATCTCCTAATTGGCACCATGGCTGCACTCAGACCCTGCACAAGATCGTCAAAAAGAGAGGACCAAGAAGTTCATCTGGTGCCAGTCAGACAATATGTCAAAAATAAGCGTACCTGGTGATAACCCAGAAGTATTGACAACACGGTTTGTAGAAGTTCAAGGGCTGGATCTAGATACCCTAAATATGGAAGCAACAGAAAACAAAACACATGCTGCCCAGTGGCTTCCAGAAGTTCCCGGTCCACAAAGCCAAGGAGCTGGAAATGCCTCTGATGTGCAATAAATCTTAATCTGCTGAGGTTGCTTACAATGTTTCCGCCAAGAACCACAAAGCCATCACAGAAAGAGCAGCTCAGAGTGCAGCTGGCCATCAGAGTCACCAATCCCAATGCCAGACTGTGCAGAGAAAAAAAATCAGTAGACACATTATGTGCACATTTTATTTTCATTTAAATAAAACCATCAAAACAGGAGAAAAAAAAAACCCCTCATAGGGTAATTTCAGGAAACTAATTCTCATTGTTTTGGAAAATAGTATATAAAATTAAAATTACTATTCCTTTAGTTACCAACTAGTGATTTAAAAAAGTTTCTTCATAGATATTTACGAACTAATAAATGAAGAAGGAATAATAAAATATTACCATTATTCAAGCTTTTAAAAATAATGGGAATAGGGGGAATCAACTTTTATTTTTCTTTCCGTAGGTCGTGAAAGGAGAGACAACTATACATTTTGTGACACTGAAGACAAATGTACAAGAGTACTACTGAAGAAGTTCAGCCAAAAAAAAAAAAAAAAAAGCCCAGTATTATTCTTATCAAGCCTGTATATCCAGTTTATAGGAAATATAAGACACAGACACACATGTTAAATGGCAACACTAGAATGTAATACACAAAATCCAGACTTGAAAATGCTATAAAATATGCAAAATGATGTTTTAAGAACAATATTAGAAGAAAATTGAGTTTGTGGGAGAATTTACAGTCTTTAAATAATATATTAATTACAATGTATGAACTCACTTTGTTTCATGATTCAAACAACAAGCTGGTTAAAAGTTTAAGAGAAAAATCCATCATGACATTGACCTGAGAATTAAGGTGATTAAAGTGATTGTTAAAAAATGAAATATACTTGGGAGGCTGAGTCACAAGAATCCCTTTAACCTGGGAGGTGGAGGTTGCAGTAGGCTGAGATTGCGCCACTGTACCGCAGCCAAGGCAACACTGTGAGACTCTGCCTCAAAAAAAAAAAAGAAAGAAAGAAAGAAAAGGGAAGCAAGGAAGGAAGGAAGGAAGGAAAGAAGGAAGGAAGGAAGAAAGGGAAAGAAAGAAATGTGGATTTTTATGAAAAGACATCTTTGATAAAATGAAAACATTAGAGTGTGAATTGGGTGTTTGATGATGGATGTTTTATATCATGAGATTATTGTTAAATTTATGTGTTATAACAGAATGAGGATTATATTAAAAACATTGCATTTATCAGAAATTGATACTTAAGTATACATGAGTGAAATGAAAATATGTTTACTGTTTAAAATAACCCAATAAAAGAGAAAAGAACGTATAGTTAAAATTATCCAATTTTAAATTGGATTCTTTGAAATAACTTTAACTTTTAAAAAGTTAAAAAGGAATACAGAGAAAATAAAGAAAAAAATAAGATAGTACAGATGATATAAATAAAACAAAGACAAAATATTAGTTGCTTTTGAAGCTGGGTGATGTGCATATGGGAATTTCTTTTTATTATACTGTTATATTTGAGATTATCTATGCTAAAAAGTAAAACACCAACAAAACAAAAAACCTGTTCATGACACAGTTTCACAGATTATGATTTAATTGATCTGAGATGGAACCCAGCCAACTATTAGTATTTTTTTGTACGTTGGGCTTCTAATCTATATCCAGTGTTGAAAATAACTCAGGATAAAATAGATGCAAGCAAGGCTCTAGTTATGTTTCATTTGTTTAATTACAAAATTTAATTCAAGTTATGCAATTGTAAGACTAGTACAGGGACATCTCATGTACCTTTTACTCAGTTTATCTCAGTTGTAATGTATTGCAAAACTATAGTATAATGTCACAACCAGGATATCAACATTGATACAGTCAAGACAAATTTTTTTCATTTTTTCATTTTTAATTTTTGTGTATACATAGTAGGTGTATATATTTATGGGGTAGATGAGTTTTTTGATACAGGCATGCAATGTGAAATACCACATTATGGAAAATGTGGTATCTGTCTCTTCAAGTATTTATCCTTTGTGTTACAAAAAATACAATTACACTTCTTTATTCTTAGTTATTTTAAAATGTACAAGTAAGTTATTATTCACTATAGTTACTCTGTTGTGAAATCAAATAGTAGGTCTTATTCATTCTCCTGTTTTTTCTTGCACCCGTTTAACACAGAACATTTTTATCACACTAAGTATTCCTCATGTTGCATCTTTATAACCACCCACTCATCTTTATCCTCAAGCCCTGGCAACCACTAATCTGTTCTCAGTTTCTATAATGTAGTCATTTAAAAATAGTATATAAATTGAATAATAAACCATGGTAAGTTTTTTTCAGAATGAGGCTTTTACTTAGCACAATACTCCGAATAACTGCCCAGGTGGATTGATCTTTTTTCTCTTTCAGCATTTGAAAACATGTTGTGCTACTTCCTTCTGGCTTTTATGGTTTCTAATGAGAAATCTGCTGCTATTCAAATTGTTCTTTTTTCCCCACCAGTAAGGTATCTTTTCTGTCCTGCGCACCCCCAACCACCTCCCTGGCCTGATTTCAAGATTTTTTTCCTGGTCTTTAGTTTTCAAAAGTTTGACTATAATGTATCTTTCTTTGAGTCACTGTTTGGGATTTGCACAAGTTTTTAAATCTATAGGTTTAGGTGTTTTAGAAAAGTTTATCTATTATTTCCTTGAGCATTTTTTAAATGTTATCCTCTTTCTGCTCTCCTAGACCTCCAATGACATGAATGATCAATTTTTTGTTTTGGTCCTAGAGACCCTTAAAGCTCTGCATTTATTCTGGTCTATTTTTCTCCCTTTTGTTCAGATTCAGTAATTTTAAATATTTTGTCTTCTAGTTAACTGATTTTCCCATTCTCTTCACTCTGTTCTGGAGCCCATTTGTTCAGTTTTAAATTTTAGCTATTATTTCAGTTCTAAAATTTCAACTTAGCTGTACTTTATTTCCTCTATTTATTTCTGAGACTTTCTATTGTTATTTCTATTGTTATTTTCTACAGACATTTCTCTTGTTACTTTCTATTGTTACTTTCTACATTTTTATTGTTACTTTCTATGGTCATTTTTATTATTACTTTCCATTGTTACTTTCTCTATATAATAAAGAGTCTGACTGCATGTTATGATGTTTGACTAATCACAACTTTGAAAGCCTCATTTTTTAAGCCGCACTTCTCCTTCTTTCCATTCCTCCTCACCTTTGGGTAATTTAATTTAATTCAATTTAGTAGGAAGGCTGTATGTTCCCTTCTTGAGGACTAGCAAGATACTGAAAGCACAAAAGCTCTGCCCTCATGTGAGAATTTTCACCTTGATCCCACCTTTGCATTAATAAAAACCCAAGCCAGTCTCCTTGGAGGCAGTTAGGGGGAAGGTTTCCAGGATGCTTGAGTTAAAGGGAAGGCTATAGGTAAGGTTAAGTAAAATTATGGCATCTTATGTGATATGTTTAGGAAGCGTATTTGGCATTCTATAGTTGGAATTACAGATGGGAAGAGAATAGGAAAGTTGGACGTTTTTGGCCAAGTTTAATCTATTATGGGCAGATTCTGCAGTAATTTTGTGTTGACTTTCTGGACTAGTTGCTGTAGAGGTTGTAGGTCAAAGTGTTATAGTCGTATATGGTTTGGCCATTGTCCCTTTGTGTATCCAGACTCTCAAATCTAGTTTAATATAACTTAGACAAGTATGGTACTCAGGTATGGTTCCTTGAAAATGTACTTAAATATACTTTCTGACTATTAAAAAGGTGTTCAAATAATGAATTTAAGAAAAGATAGGCTGGGCACGGTGGCTCACGCCTCTAATCCCAGCACTTTGGGAAGCCGAGGCGTGTGGATCACGAAGTCAGGAGATCAAGACCATCCTGGCTAACACGGTGAAACCCCGTCTCCATTAAAAATACAAAAAATTAGCCGGGCGCGGTGGCGGGCGCCTGTAGTCCCAGCTACTCGGGAGGCTGAGACAGGTGAATGGCGTGAATCCAGGAGGCGGAGCTTGCAGTGAGCCAAGATCACGCCACTGCACTCCAGCCTGGGCGACAGAGCGAGACTCCATCTCAATAATAATAATAATAATAATAATAATAATAATAATAATAATTAGCAGGGCGTGGTAGCGGGCGCTTGCAGTCCCAGCTACTCGGGAGGCTGAGGCAGGAGAATGGCGTGAACCCGGGAAGCGGAGCTTGCAGTGAACCAAGATCGTATCACCGCACTCCAACCTGGGAGACAGAGCAAGACTCCATCTCAAAAAAAAAAAAAAAAAAGAAAAAGAAAAGATAAACTATGATATAAAAGAAATGGTAGTATACATTGAAATTAGTCAAATATGGAATTGTATAAATTATTCTCCAAATTTGGATAGAATAAAGTGAAATTAATATTGAAAGCGACTGTGCATTATAAAATGTTAAGAATAATTACTTTCAAAATTTTATATTTTATATACAGAAACCAGGAAATGTGGGAAAAGAAGAGAAAGTAAATGTATGCTAAATATTTCATTTTATTTTGGAGGAGCTAAAATATATTTGTTAATTTCTAATGTTGATAATTAAATAAATATTCTGCAATTAAAAACTTTAAACTACCCAAGTAGACTAAAAACTCAATACATCTAATAAATTGGGGGAAAAATAAAACCGTAGTTCCACATAACACACCCACAAACCAAAACCAACTTATCTTTCAAAAATCATGCAAAAATATTTAAAGATAGGTATAAAAAGAAACATTAAAGTAGACTAGAAAAAGGTCAATTACATCAGTTATTATAAGGAAACATTTCTAATTAAAAATTAAGACTTTATTTGCTTCATTTGATATCTAAGAGTAAGTTTTTTAAAGTAAACTTCTGTTAAAGGAAAATTTCAAAGAAACTAAAATCACTTCTCTCATACAAATATGAAGTGTACATGTGTTAAAATTTTTATTTAACTCACTATTAATGAGAGAATCAGTAAGATGTTACAACCAGTTCAAAAGAAAATCTTAAAACAGACATTTATAAATCAGGAATTTTTTTGCATTTAATTAAAAAAAAATCCTGCTGCTTCCACAGTGAGTGAAGGGAGTCAATTGAATCTTTAACTAACAGAATTTATTTGAGCATTTGTAGAAAATATTATTTTTCAATTCTATCAGTTATTTACAATTTAAGGCATTGTAAAATATTTCAATGGCTATGAAAAAGCGTAGTCTCCACAGGATCAGACTGGATAACTCTTAGAGGGATTTGTTCTTAAAAATGCATACGTGGCCGGACGCGGTGGCTCATGCCTATAATCCCAGCACTTTTGGAGGCCAAGACAGGTGGATCACAAGGTCTGGAGTTCGAGGCCAGCCTGGCCAGGATGGTGAAACCCTGTCTCTACTAAAAATACAAAAATTAGCCACGTGTGGTGATGGGTGCCTGTAGTCCCAGTTACTCAGGAGGTTGAGGCAGAAGAATCTCTTGAGCCCCGGGGGCGGAGTTTGCCATGAGGGGAGATCAGTGAGACTCCCTT